CGCCCTTCACCTTTTCTATGTAATAGAAGTGTCTACCAAATTCACGATCAATAATGACAGATGGAGACACATGGTGCCAGTGAGAGTTTTATATGTATCACACATGCACAAGTCAACTTAGCCTTTTATAAATACAGAATAAACTTGCTTAATAGACCTACTTTTTGATTTAGCTAAACTTTTTCCAACCCAGTGAAGCACCCCAATTTCTCTTTTAGGTAATTGTCAGCAACAATGCAGTACATATCAACACAAAGCAGATTATTGTAGATCATGCAGGGAGAACAAAGGGTAAAATATTTAACTTCAGCAGTGTTTGACTATATTCTGTGCATTGAGAAAACCTGAAGTCATTTTCAAGGTCCACCATTATTTCTTTCCAGTGAGGTCAAGTTTGTAAGCTTTCTTCTAAGTCTCCATTTTCTGGCTAATGAAAAGAAAATAGGATTCCATCAAGTCTCCTATCTACCTACTCCAAGGCTTCTGTGAGGATCAAATGAGATGAAGCATGGGAAAATGCTTCACAGAAACTGGGTTAAAGTGTGAAATATTTGCTCCTGGCTATAACACAAGTCATGTTCCTGGACTGAAGAAACTGCAAGGAGGCTAGTCATTGTTAGGGAGAGGAAGCTGGGAGTTGCTATGTGATGTCATTACATGGCGCCCAAAGCAAATGTTTGCCGGCTGGGCTGTGGGCCACATTTTGCACCATGGGGTCTTGGCAGCATCAACTGCTATTTGGTGGGCTGTTGTTCTAGGGTGGTGGCAGGGCCTGTGTCCCACTTGTAAATGTAAGTGTTGTGAAAAATGAAAGACTGAGATAAAATCTGATGCTGGAGAAGATTAAAGAAACATAAAACTAAATGTAATGTGTATTCTAGAATAGGAAAAAGACATTAGTGGAATAACTAGTGAAATCTGTATAAAGTTGTTTAGTTAGTATCTAATTTTTTAGTTTGATACTTGTACTAGTCTATATAATCCTATACAATCAAGAGGTAATATGCAAATTAATCACTCCATCACACAAGATGGCCACCCCTATGTTGACACAAGATGGCCAGCAGGGGAAGGCAGTTGGGGGCGACCAGGTCTGCAGGGGAGAACAGTTAGGGGCAATCAGGCTGGCAGGGGAGGGCAGTTAGGGGCTATTGGGCCTGCAGAGGAGCAGTTAGGCATTGATCAGGCTGGCAGGGGAGTGGTTAGGGGCGATCAGGCAGGCAGGTAAGCTGTTGGGAGCCAGCAGTACTGGATTTTGAGAGGGCAGTCGAAATCCCCTGAGGGATTGGAGAGCATGCAGGCTGGACTGAGGGACCCCTCCTTTCCCCCCCACCCCCACCTGTTCATAAATTTCGTGCACCAGGCTCTAGTGGTTATATAAGATGTTATAACTAGGTAATGTGGGGGTTATGGGAACTCAGATATTTTCACAACTCTTCTGTAAATCTAAAATTACTTCCAAATAACAATTTTTTAAAAATTAGGAACAAGTTTTGTGGGCCTTTTTTTTAAAGATGTAGTTGAGTTAACCTTTTTCATTGAAGAAGACCTCATTTTTTAAAAAAATATATTTTATTAATTTTTTACAGAGAGGAAGAGAGAGGGATAGAGAGCTAGAAACATGGATGAGAGAGAATCATCGATCAGCTGCCTCCTACACACCCCCTTCTGGGGATGTGCCCACAACCAAGGTACATGCCCCTGACCAGAATCAAACCCGAGACCTTTCAGTTTGCAGGTCGACGCTCTATCCACTGAGCCAAACCGGTTTTGGCAAGAGGACCTCGTTTTTATAGTGGGTGACATTTATTTCTCCTGAGCAAATTTAGTTTTCCACAGAAAACATACAGTTGACCCTTGAATAATGCTGGGTTTAAGAGTGTTGACCCTCCACACAGTAAAAATTCACATAAAACTTTTGACTCCTTCAAAACTTGACTACTAATAGCCTACTGTTGACTGGAAGCCTTATTTATAATACAAATAATCAATTAACATATATTATATGTATTACATACTATATTTTACAATAAAGTAAACTATAATAAAGAAGAAAAAATGTTAAGAAAATCATAAGGAAGAGAAAGTACATTTGTAGTATTTATTGGGAAAAAAATCAAGTGTAAGTGGTCCTGCACAATTCAAACTCATGTTGTTCAAGGGTCAACTATAGTTTTAAGGTGGAGTAGAGAGGTGATTTTAATCTGATTGGTACTGTCTGTGAAACAGGTTAAGGAAAGAAAGCTAAGGATTCACTGGATGTTTCTGGAGAATAACATTTGGTTTTGGAGTTGTAGGAGGCTGGGTATTTTCCATGATGACTGTTTAATTTGACTAGAGCCTATAGGCTTTGCCCTTGAGGAAAAATAACAAGCTTGTAGATGTAGAGGTTTTGTTAATGATTGGGGAAACACACCCCCCCCCCCCCCCCACACACACACACACACACATCCTGAGTGGCCAGATTATTATGCGTTTAGAGATCATAATAATCTGGCTATTCAGTGTATATATAAAATGATTGAAGTTATATATATATATATATATATATATATATATATATATATATATATATATATATATATATAAGTGCTTTGAGCAGTACTTGCTTGGCAAGCATTAAATACATATTAGTACTTATTTGTACCAGGCTCGCTGTCTTAGACTGAGTATATAGGCTGTACACTGTTCAGCTAACTCCAAGTACATATTCCCATGACTACAGCACAACTCAGTGGCTCTAAGTAGTATAATTCTTCTAGTGGAATTTTGTGATAGGAAAGAGACATATTGTCCCATCGTATTAAATTACAACTCTGAAATACTTGAAATACTCTCAAAACATCTTTTTAAAAAAATATAAAGTCTAACTTGAGAGGGAAAAAAAAAAAGGAAATCTAAAGAAAATGGTTTTAATCTCCCATATAGCAAAGCAGTGTTTAAGCTGTTTTTCACTACTGTTGATAGTTAATTAAATAACTTTTTCTCAGACTTTAACAGGAAGAATAGTTAAATATTTGAGTTTTCTACAATTTTAACAGGGAACTTAAGATATAAAGCAATTATTAAATAGAATGGATGCTTTCAACAAACTTGTACATCAACTTTTAAAGTCTGCATCATATTAGTTCACCATATCTACTGATAAATAATAGTAACTACAATGTTTCATTTTAAAATTAGAACTAAAAGAAATTTTTCATTGTTTATAGTTGAAGAAAATACCTTTATTCATAATTGTACAAGAAAAGTATCAAATTTGATGCTGTCCTCCAAAATTTTTATGGAAAGATGTGGTTACCATGTATTCAGGTCTTTATATATCTCTCTTATTGTGACATTGCAGTTTACACATTGATCTCAAATAACCTCAATTGATACCTTTTGAAAATATGTAAAAATTACCACAGATTTAGTAATTTTTTATTTTGGTTTGGGTTCAAAATTGCTAGTGTTGGATGTGTTAAAGACTTAAAAAGCAAAAGAGTAAGCAGGTTATGTAATGGAAGATATAAATTTATAACAGGATGATGAATGAAAAAAATTATCCTATAATACCGTTTCCCCCAAAATAAGACAGTGTCTTATATTAATTTTTTCTCCCAAAGTTGTGCTAGGTTTTATTTTCAGGGAATGTCTTATCTTTCCATGCGCTAGGTCTTATTTTCGGAGGATGTCTTATTTTCGGGGAAGCATGGTATTATGAATGGGTACTGTGGCTTCAGATAAAACTCCCTGTGTGCCATTGAATACTAACTCAGAAGTACTTCTATACTAATAAAAGGGTAATATTCTAATTAGACCGGATAGACCCAGCATCTTCCAGTTGTCTGGTTCTCCTTCCAGACAAAGCCCCTATGGCAGAGACAGAGGCTGTTAGGGGCAATCAGGCCAGCAGGGGAAGCCTGTTAGGGATGATCAGGCTGGCTGGGGAGGGCAGTTAGGGATGATCAGGCAGGCAGGCAGGTGAGTGGTTAGGAGCCAGTGGTCCCAGATTGTGAGAGGGATGTCATCCCCTGAGGGATGGCGAGGGTGCAGGCTGGGCTGAAGAACACTCCTGCTTCTATCCCTCCCCCCCCCCCCCAATGCATGAATTTTGTGTACTGGGCCTCTAGTATCTTAATAAACTTATATTGTAAGTGAATATCATGTGCTCTTAGTATTTACAAATACACTACTACTGAAGAGGCATGTGAAGATTTTTGAATACTTAAACCCAAACTTAATTTTTAAAAAAATGTTTGTATGAGAAAATTATACTTGAGGTTGCTTTTCTTTGTTTTCCAAGAATAAGTGACATTTATTTCTTTTAAGTGGAATTATTGTATAAGACAGGCTTTGCATTTCTCCACTTACTTTTAGGGCCTGGAAGTAAACATTTAGTATTATTTTGTTAAAGTTAGATTTACTTAGGTCTAACGCAGTGGTTCCCAACCTTTTTTGGCCATGCCCCACCTAAGCATCTCTAAAATCCTGATGCCCCCCTGTGACATATTTCAAAAGTGAGTTCCTATTCACATGGAGGAAGCCTAAAAGGCCATTAATTTGGCTAAAGCTTCCAAAGAACATAGCATCCATGAAAGAGAAAAGTAACAGAACGAATGGACAGTTGAAGTACTGAGGAAGAAATCACTAAGAAATTATTTAAAATAAGAATAATATGAAGTGATATGAAAAAATAGCAAATAAAGTTTTAAAACATAGAGAACTGAAATGCATAAATATGTCAATATATTTATATACTATATATATAACCATAAGAAATGCAAAAAATTCACTGTTAATAACTTATTCTCGAATTGCCCCTTAAAAATCAAATTACCCCCGTGTGGGGCATGTGCCCCACATTGGGAACCACTAGTCTAATGTGCTCCAGAAGCCCTTAGCTGATCTGTTTCTTCATCTCAATGCTCCCTTCATTTTTTGGTTCCACATAAGAATAAGGTAAAGTTTGACATTTTCCAAAATATTATTCTTGATAAAGCAATATTTTTGTTTAGGTGACAAACAGCATGTTTGGTGCTTCAAGAAAGAAGTTTGTAGAGGGGGTCGACAGTGACTACCATGATGAAAATATGTACTACAGCCAGTCTTCTATGTTTCCACATCGGTCAGAAAAAGATGTAAGTTAATCAGTTACATTGTGTTTACTTAGTCTGTCTCTTTCTGGTTCCTAAAAAGCAGTGTATGTACTGCAGTGTACCATCATTGGATGAATGACTATCGTTTAGGCACATTTCTAGGCCCAGGGATAAGTTACATTCTCGTGGGAGACAGAATGTTTTTTGATTCTCAAGTTGAGATATGATAATGCTTTGGTAGGAAGTATTCAAAGACATGGGTAAGCTTGCTACTGTTTTAAGATCAAATTTTTTTTTTTTAATTTATGAAATAACTTGTGTTGAAATACACATATAGAATAGAAAGATTTGCATAGATTTCAACCTATAATGACAGTCCTCAATGAAACTTTACCATTGCTTTGTAATGTAGCTATAATCCTACGTCTCAAAAACAGCTTTATTCCATTGTTCAATTGTGGGGATGCAATAATAGAAAAATTTTTGAAGAACTATATTCAAGTAATGGAAGATCTTATAGAGGTATGAATTAAATGTTTTGGAAGGCTAATAGTTCAATATTCCCATTTGGAATGAAAGGATTTAGGACATAGCCAAGTCTTAATTAGCCAGTTGATAAAATATTTTAAAATATTTTGAATTCAGTTGTTATTTTCAAATTCTGGTAAACTACTTTATAGTATACATGGTATAGTAAATCGTCACTTAACATCATTAATAGGTTCTTGGAAACTGCAACTTTAAGCGAAATGAAACCAGTTTTACAGTAGACTAATTAACATAAACAAGAGTTACGCTCCTATGTCATATTTGGTCACAAAAACATCATCATATTTCTAAAATCCCCAAAATAAATCTAATATTAAACATTGAAAAAACATGAGCTCTATATACATTTAAGAAAGATTAATAAAAGCAATTAGGAGAATTATTTTCTAACCTGTTTTATAGCTTGATGCAAGGCAGGATCCAACCCTGGACAGGACACCACAGCCTTGTAGGGTTTCCTCATAAACACACTCTTCCACACTCACTCAGACTGGGACACTTGAAACACGCCACTGAACCTAACAATATCTTTGGGACATGGGAGAAAGCCAGATTGAGTACCTAGAGAAAGCCCACACAGACATGGGGAGAATGTGTAAACGCCATGCAGTCAGTGCTCCCCACTGGGTATTGATTCCCTCCTCCCCTCACCAACACCAGCATAATAGGAGAACCTATATAATTAGAAAAACCAGTTGCAGTCTTCTACTTTGTACTTTTCTTTATTCCCTTACAAATTTGCTGTTCATAATTTCTCTCTCATTCTTCTAATAATATATTCTAGTTGTTAAGCTAATAAGATTTTTAGTGGCGTTTAAACAGTTATAAAATTCTAAGATTATGTAACAAATTCTTTCATTTTTTCATTAAAATTTATTCCTGTGTCTTTTAGAATTTCACAATTTGGCTTTACTAACTAGGTTAAGTTAGGATTTCAGTGGGCTTTTAAGATTTCTTCCCTGTTTTGGTGTTATTCTCCTTTATATTTGAAAATTGTGTTATTTTGGCAACAAATTATCAGTTGCATTATTAGGGTTCTTATCAAATTATGTGTATAGTGGTTTTCTTTGTACTTAAGTGTACAATTTAATGATTCAGATATGTCATCTAATTTATTTTGTTATTTTAGTACTCTAATTATTTGCTATAAATTATAATAGAATTATATTTTATATAACTTGCTATATTTAGGTATTGATCGAGAGTGAAAGATTTTGGGATGTCTTTCTGGTAGCATCACTGCAGAAACTATAAAACTAATTAGTGCGTGTTACTGTGATTAGAGCAAAAGTTAAGTTTGATGGGAAAATGGCAGTGGAATGTTACTTATTGATGAAAAGCATTTCTTTCAGTTAGGAAGATATGAAAATTTCAAACTGATTTGGAACTAAGATATGTGAACAAAATGAATGCTAGAGATGTTTGTCTTCTAGAGAGCAAAGTTTTTTAGTCAGAATTATTTACATCCACTCTCATACTCACATATATTAGTTAGTATTCCAATCTAGTTGTCACAGAAATAACAGAATGAATTGATTCATATAACTTTTATTAATTAATTAAGAAGGTAATAAGACATAAGGATTAAGAATTTGGGCTCTAAAGCAGTAAAGGTATGTGTTTGGGTCTTGCCTTTGTCTATTAGCAAGAATTTCTCCAAGCCTCAGTTTTCTTTCTGTAAAATATACATATATACGGCTACTTATACGTTTTTGCTATTACTAATACTTTTTTAATTATAAAATAGTACAGGAAATTTTAAATATTCATGGGAGAAAGAAAAGTTACCCATAGTATTGATAGTCGGGAATAATTTATTAGTAAAATTTAATTTTATATTTTAAATATTTTAATTTTAAAAATGTTTAAATCTTTGGAACATACATATTTTCTATTTGAAAGCTTATAGCAATTTTTGCTTTCACCAATACTATGCCCTCAAGAATACCAGCTGTTACCTCTAGATCTTTGCCAATAGACAAAAGAATCTTCCTGTTTTAATGTACAGTAAAATGTTGCTACACTTATACACATGCACACACATAGAGTGATGTGTCTTTTCCATATAGTTATCAGCCATTTGTATTTTTTCCTTTGTGGACTATCCCTTTTTGTACTATTTTCTATTTCTCTATTGAGGTAATGCTTTGTTTATTTGTTGGTGTTTTCTATATATAAAATTAAGAAAAATTGTCATTTTCTCAATATTTTGCTTTCTTTATAGTTTTTTAAATATAAAATATTTTTCTTTTTTACTTAATTTGATTCATCAGTCTTTTTTTTTAATTGTTTATGTTTTTGAGATCATACTTAGACTTCTAGTGCTTTTGTGCTTCATTCTTCACATATAACTTATGTTCATTAGAAATGTATTTTGGTTTAAGGTGTGCATTTTATGATGCCAGATTCCCTCTTACTCTGAATATCCACTTATTCCTACACCATGTATAATTAGCTCACCAGTCAGAAAACTTTTCCATAAATGACCAGATAATAAATATTTAAGGTTTTACATGCCAAGAGTTAACTAAATGATATTAAGTAGGTACTTAAGTAACTTTTAAAAATATTTTCGAAAACATTCTTGGTTCTTGCACTCTGCAAGTATATGCAATACTCTAGATTTAGCCTATGTTCAATAATTTGGCCTACTCTGAGTTAGGCCATTCATTAATGGCTAATTGAAATTTCTTCCATATTATATTCTAATGTTTGATGTACTCTTGGGCCTATTACTAAACTCTTTTGTACTGTTTATCATATTGATTCTATGACAGAACTACAACATAGTTTTAGTTTATAGACAATTTTCACATCTTAGATAAGATCTTTTCTATCCATTATAAAAATTATTTTGACTATTGCACATTTATACTGGTATTTAGTATCTTCTTTTAGAAGAATATGTCTGTTTTTTGTTCCTGTTTTTTGTTGTTAATATTTTTATTGATTTCAGAGAGGAAGGGAGAGAGAAAAATCAATGATGAGAGAATCATTAATTGGCTGCCTAATCTGGCGGTCGGACATCCCTCTCACAATCTGAGACCACTGGCTCCTAACCGCTCACCTGCCTGCTTGCCTAATCACCCCTAACTGCCTCTGCCTGATTGTCCCTAATCCCTCTGCCTGCCTGCCTGATCGCCCTTAACCTCTTTGTCTGCCTGATCTCACCCTCAACTGCCTTCCCCTGCTGGCCTGGTTGTTCCCCAACCGGCCTCCCCTGCTGGTCCGCAACTGCATCTCTCTTCTAACTGCCCTCCACTGCCCGTCTAATCTCACCCCTAACGTCCCTCCCCTGCCAGCCTGATCTCTCCCCCATCTGGCCTGATTTCGTCCCCAACTGCCCTCTTCTGCCTGCCAATTTGGTTCTGATTGGTCTGTATCTATGCCCTGGTGAAGGTCTGGAGAGAAATGGGGCCTTTCATGTACTTAAAATATTTCTAGTTATGTGGTAACAGTCATGACAACTGTACCTAACAAAAGGACTTGATCAGGCATAAAATGCATAATTTTTCCGTTCAGATTGCATACTCTCTGGATTTGAGAAGATATATTTAGAATGTTTGATGCTTTTAAAAGAAAATTTGTTGCTATACTTAAATACTGCTGTTTTATAGTAGTATGTAACTTAGCTCTACTTTAGAAGAGTCTAATATGTATAATTAGTTTGAAACTACAGTTGTATAAAAACTATTAAATTTTAGAATAGTTAAAATAATTCAGAATTTTGATATGAAAATAGTATAAAATCTGTTATTTTAAAGCTCTATTTTGTAACTATTTCTCCTTCTGATTTTTCTAATGTGTCAGTGTCAGACCAATTCGTTTTTGTTAATCTTCACCCAAGAATATTTTTCCATTGATTTTTATTGAGAGTGTAAGGGAAGGATAGGGTCAGAGAAAGAGAGAGAAACATCTATGTGAGAGACATATCGATTGTTTGCCTCCTGCACGCACCCCAACCAAGGTTGGGGATCGAGCCTGCAACCAAGGTATTTGCCCTTGACCAGAATTGAACCTGGGACCCTTTAGTCCATGGGCCAATGCTCTATCCACTGAACCAAACAACCTAGGGCCAGTGTCAGCCCAATTCTTCACTGGAAACCAGAATGATCTCTGATAGTTTCCCCTCTGGTGATTCTTTACCCACCTCCTTTTTCCTATAAATCAACCATTTCAATAGAGCATCTAACACTGTGCTTCTACAACCAGAATGCCTCATTTTTGTAGCCCCATTTCTTTTGTTCTAATTTAGTATTCTCTATTTCCATTCATTTTTTGCGGTTTGAATTATCTTCCCAAACACAGTTTGACTGTTTTGCTTTCTTGGTGAATACAATTTTTTCTCTTTATTGCTATAGTTAGTAGCCATTTTTGTATGCCATTTAAGAAGACCCTTTATATTTGGCCCCAACATAATCTTTTATTTCCCATCTTCCTATGCCTCAGTGTGCATTGATGTTGATCCTATCTTCTTTTCTTAATTACCCTATTATCTAGTCACTAATGTTTCTTATTTTGTATTCTGATCATGTCACTAACTTTTATCACATCCTCACTGTGGAAGACCACTCATCTATATTCACATGAGATGTTACCATTCTGCAAAGCATTTCTGTTACCTAACCAGTGTTTAGAATTATTTTCCTCTGGTAATACTTTATACTTCCTTTAGAACATTTGCCATACTGTGCCTTAAAATATAATTACTCGTATAATTCATATTCTTCCTTCAATAGATTATAATCTATTTGAAGATATGGCCCATGTATTATTTAATTAAGATATTTTGATGGTTGCTTAATATAAGACAGGGAATACACAAGCATGCACTTACCTGTGCACATTTTTATTTGTTCATTTTTATACATTTTCATTATCTATGCATAACATTGCCATTTACTAGGATAGTAGTAGTCTGTGAGGAAACAAAAATTCAATATAACATGTTTCTTGAGAATTAATATTCTACTAGGTGGGAAAAGGATGATGCAGTAAACCGAAAGGCATTATATACTAGTAGTAATGCCATGAAATTCACATCACTCACTAATAGACAATATCCATTTATATACCATTATATGGTATATAAATGCATATATATTCATATATATACACATATATATTTTGGAAGTATTTTGATTTGTCCTTTGGTATTGTGTTATCTCCATCTATTATATATGGTTGCATGTATATTTATTAGGTTTTTTCTTACCAATTTGATACACATTACTTATTTGTATGTACAAGTCATGAACTATGCTTACAAAATAAAATTTTATTTAGGTAATTTTATTTTTAATTTAAATTGAATTTAGAATTTAACTTAATATATTATCTAAGAATTAAGAATTCACTTACGAATTTAGAGGCTGACTTTTTGAGATACTGTCATATTTTTGTTAACCTTGTTTGTTTTCTTTTAAAGTGAAATAATGATTCTGCTATAGTTTCATTTGGAATAACTTGAAAAAACTTTCATGGTAATAAAAAATTTCATTTTATTTGCACAGTTTAATTTTACCCAATTGGGAATTTATTATATAATGTTTTGTTTTTCTGAAGAAGGAGAAATGTGGGTTTGACTCTCACATATCTATGATGTATTGAACAGATTTGTAACGTGTAAATGCATTGTTCTTTGTACTTTCTTTATGCTCTAATATAATTAATTTGTTTTTAGATGCTGGCATCACCATCTACATCAAGTCAGCTGTCTCAGTTTGGGGCAAGTTTATACGGGCAACAAAGTAAGAATTTTGTATTTATTCTGAAATACTTCAAAGAAAAAAAAACAACAACTACCAAATAAAGAACAACCAGTGCTGCTCTTGTGGGTTTGTTCTAGGATTTAAAAGGAAAGATATTTAATTTTTAGCTTTTCTTATTTTACTTATATAATAAAATTTCATTATTTCAGACCTTTCTAATTCAAAAGGCTAGATTAAAATTTATTTCTGCATCTTTTGCATCTGTATATTCTTTTGCAATAATTTTGAAGAAGAATTTGCTAAACAAAACTAGACATCCAATTTTTTTTTTTCAATTAGAGGAAGTTAAAGGGTTTTTTGTTTGTTTGGTCAGTTGATTATAGGTTGTTTGTGGTTTTTGGCCTTTTTAAAAATGTGTGCCATTTACTTAGCCATTTGTCAAATGTCCTCTTTGTTTAGCAAATATTTCTTCTTTCACTTTATCTCAGTCTAGGTATAGAATTAATGTTTTTGATTCACAGTTTAATGCATTTTCTGTATACAAGAATTTATTTCTTATTAAGTACTAGAGAGGCCTGCTGCATAAAATTCACGGGGGGGGGGGGTGTAATCCCTCAGCCCAGCCTGCACTCTCTCAAAATCTGGGACCCCTTGGGTAGGGTCCCTAGGCCTGGCCAGCAATCAGGGCCTATCGGGGCTTTCCTCCCCCCCCCCCCCATCCCCCCTCCAGCTGCTGGCTGCAGGCAGCGGCCTCACCTCTGCCGCTGCCACTGCTTGCTATCTGTGCGGCACTCTCCCCCCACTCCACTGCCACCGCCACCGCCACTGGTCGCTTCCTTCAGCAGGCAACAGATGTAGGATGAGATTGCTTGGCTGGCCTCCGGCTCCCTCTGCGAGGTAATCTCTGGCTGGTAGCCTGGGCCTCCCCTGATCATGGGGCTCTGCAATAGATTGCCCAGCAGAGGGAGGCTCACCAGGCTGGGGCTCTGAGATTGATCACCGGACAGAGGGTGGTCTGGACCTCCCTCTTTGGGGTGATTACAGAGGTCTTCTCTCCTGCCTCTCCTTCTTCCCCCCTCCTCCCCATCAATCACCCTGCCAATTGGTGGCCTGGGCCTTCCTCTTTGGGGCAGTCAATTGTGGAGTCCCCCTATCAATCACCCCGCAGAGAGTGACCTGGGCCTCCCTCTGCAGGGCGATCGTAGGGCTATGGTGGGGCCCCCAACCAATCACATCGCATTTGTCTTGGCTGGCCTGGCACCAGTGTGTGTCATAGCATGGTCATCCAGAAGGTCATCCAATGGTCATTCTGCTGTTCAGTCATTTGGTCGATTTGCATATTATGCTTTTACTATTATAGATTGTAATTCTTTTATAGCGCTTAGCACAGTGCCTGGCGTATAGTAAGCGCTCAATAAATGTTAGCTATTACCACAAATATATTTATAATTCTAAACTATAAAATCTTCCTATTTTAAAAAATTAATTTTCCAAACTGATATATTAATAATATTTTATCACCTCTGGAGACTGCTTATTTCTGTTAATGAGAGGGAGGGGACTGTTAAAAGGAATATAAGTTCCCAGCATAGATTATAGAATAATAATAGAGAAGACAGTCTAATGGCCAAGTATCTTAACTAGCTTCAAATGAAAATCAGTTATTTGTTTTTAAACTCTTTTCCAATATAATAAAAGGCAAAGTTTAAGTATCAGAATAGTTATCATACCACTTGACCCTTCAAACTTCTTTTGAAGTTTAGTAGGGGGAAGTGTTTGTGTTAGAAATGTAGTTTACAACTCTTTTTTTCTTCCTCTTGTGGGCTTTCTCTTTTGCTGTGAAACACAATTTTGTTAATATATAATTAGTAAATAATATTATTAAGTACTTATAGATGTTAGCAGTTTTGAGAACATATTTAAAGAGCTTTTTAAAATAGAAAAGGTGTTGCTTATTTACCCACAAATGTTCGTTATTGTTGTTGGGGGTGTATTATTATCTAGTAATTTATTTCTTTTAACCTGTGTTTTAGTATTAAACATACTCTTTTCACCTTTCTGGTTACCCTTACCATGAAAATAAATGCCTAATTATTTTAAAGCTACCCTTTATATCTGTAGAGTAACTGAAAAACTTACTTTGTTTTCTCTTTAAAGTCTACAATTTATCACAGTAGTAAATAGATGTGTTTAGAGAAAAAATTTGAGAATCTAAGGTTATTTTATAAAGAATGGCAATTATTTTACAACATAATCAGTTATATGGATTTTAAAACTCTGATCTAATTTTTCTAAATCTGCAATCATGAAATTGTAATTGGGCCAAGCTGTGGAATGGATGAGGTTTTAATTATAGTTCTTTTATTGCTATGATGGACATTTATTGACTTTTTAATTTGCGTAAATAATTGTGCTGATTGTTAAGGATCTACAAAAATTAATGAGCAAAGTTATTTTCATTAGAAAATGTATTTAAGGTACTTATTAGTTTAAAAACAAGTCACATATGACGTACTTCCCAATGGAGGTTAATATATTAAATGGCTATATTTCTTTAGTATTGGTGAAGCAGCATTTTTAATGCATGGCTCACTCTTTAACTGACATTGTGGGCATTAATTAGCCTACAGAGAAATTGAACCTTAGATCAATTGGTACTAAAGTATTTCAAGTCAGGGTACAATTATTTCTTTCCAGCATATAAATTTAGAAGCTACAAATTATAAAAGAAGACAGAGCCTGGATTCCCAGTCTCTGTCAGTTAGCAGGACCAAGTTAAATCATTTAGCTGGTAAATAGTTTGAACATGTACCCTGTTAGAGAGGAAAATAGATGCTACTCTGTGGGGTTTGAGGGCTAGTGTTTAATAGTATAAACAAGTCAGAATGATAAAACTTGAGGGGCTGACCTTAATAAAGGAAGAGGAAGTAGAAGGAATAAGTAGGTGGGAATATATTACTGATACTTGTCTTATGGCAGTTAATTGTAATTTGCATTGGTCTTGATATAACTAAAAGTTCTTTTTGTCTCCCAATTGTATTGAGTACCACCAGTAACTCTATATTCAGATTGTCGAAGTTCGGTAGGAATTTGTGCCATTAAAATGGAGGTCTGCTGTGTGTGTGTGTGTGTGTGTGTGTGTGTGTGTGTGTGTGTTAATGATTAGAGAGAGGTTATAGGAGGAGAGGGAAGAGTGCTATCTCAAAAACTGAGACTCACTGAGATTATACAAAGGAAGAAATTCTTCTTGGAATGGATACAAAACTGCTTAAACTTACCTTTTGTCAGATTTGGGTGGAAGTGATTGCATAGTACATAAAGTACCCAAAAAATGATTGTATCCAAATAAATTTTCACCCAGAAGTTCATGAATACCATGCACCAAATGATAACTATGGAAGCCAGTAAACAGAATCTTGTATTCAAGATTGCATGATCTCTACTCCTTTGATAAGATTTTAGGTATACTTTACAGGTTTCAGTATGCCTATAAGCTTCCTGAAGCTGTCTACTAGATTAAAATGAACAGGGAACAAGGAATTAATTTCTCCTGGATATTCAGTGCATTGAAATTAAGTGGCAGTAGAGCTGGAGTGACTTTTTCTTGCTTACTAAGAAGCTACTCACTATTTACTGGGTACTTTCTATATGCCTGTTATCTTAAAGGCACCTGGGTAAACTCTGGCTATCTGGATGAATCCATTAAACACATTTGTATCTGAATTTTCAGAGGACCCAGACTGTTGCTGAGAAAGGAAATAAACTTATCTTTCTGGAATCTGAACTCCTAGCTTGAGAGCAGTAGCTTAGTCTCATGCTTTCAACAACATCTCTTGGGTCTCCTGTTTTAAGAGCACCTATGTGAAGGCTACTGATTTTATGGAGAACCAGAACACAAGTAGAGTGGTTCAGATGATACTATTGACAATTAGTATTGCAAGTGACACATTTTGGTAGCTTCAGGAAATTGGAAGCCCATTTAACAGGTATTTGAATTAAAGCTGAATCCTCTGGGAGTTCTTGCTCTCAAGAAGCACATTATAGATGAGGAAGTTGATATTTATATATAAATTATTAAATAATAGCCTACAATGCTAATACATAGGTTAAAAGGGATGGCATGGACATATTGTTTGGAGAGAAAAGCACAGTAAGCTGCAGTGGAAAGGACAGTTTCAAAAAGGAGAGAGAAACTGAGTTGAACCAGATACTCACTGAATGCCTACCATATATATGTCATCATCCTAGGTACTATTATACAATGTGTGGTAGAAGAGATCATTCTCTTTTTATGACATCTTCATGTAATGTACATACTGCTGTGGTACATAAATGCATTTGTTTATTGCATGTCTTCATTGCCTTTGTTTCTTCAGTACTCTACATGGCAGACACTCAGTAAATGCTTGTTGAACAATGAGCAGGATACTCTCCTTACTTGTAATACAGTAGGATATGTACATGTTATTTTACTACCAAGTGGAAGAAGAACAGAATTTAATGGATATTTCAAAGTCAGGAGTAATCACATATCTTGGAGAATGATCAGGAAAGGATTTACAATTGAGGCGATTTTGACATTGGCTATCTGTGAAACTACATGTAATGGGATATATTTGGGAGTGTTGTATTTTATTAAGGCAAGGTAAACCTATTAGGCTGTTATATTGGTTTCAGCTAAGTAATACAATATTAAAAATTCATTATCTTTGCTACTTTTCAAGCTCAAGAACACAACTATTGCATACAATCCCTCCCCCAAAAACAAACAAACAAACAAAAACTATTTTCTGGTTGTTTGTTTCTAGTCCATTACTTCATGGGACTATCTCTTTACATTTAAGATTTCACAGCTTCAGCTCTAGCTGGTTTGGCTCAATGGCTCGAGTATCGGCCTATGGACTAAAGGGTCCTGGGTTCAATTCCAGTCAAGGGCACAGGCATGGGTTGCAGGCTCAATCCCCAGTAGGGAGCATGCAGGAGGCAGTTGGTTAATGGTTCTCTCTCATCATTGATGTTTTTATCTCCCTCTTCCCTCC